ACCTTTCCAACAAACATAGAATTAAAGCACAAATATGCAATTTATACACCACAAATGCAACAATTAAGCTCTAGATACTATATGAATATGGTGTAACATCACACATGAACATCGATCAACCATAATACTCTCGCATTTGATGAATATATATCTGCTTAGGTAACGTGAGGGGATTGGCGTAACAGTTGGTGCAAAGATATAGGCAAAAACATTAGAATGAGCTGAACAGTGTCGACTATGTGTCAAACTCCCTTCGCATTTATGCTTAAGTTTTAAAGTAGTGATTTTTCACACGTTTTTTTTCTGCCCTCGCACATAACTTGTAAGAGCACCCTTCATAATGACAAAAATAACTTAATCTATATTTGTAGGATTTGTGTGTTGACGCTCAACTTTTTGCTACATGTGATAAAGCTTGATGGTAAAAACCAATTCATATTTTGAAAGAAAGACATACCCCAAACATAATTCTATATTGTTCGAGGATAAGCGGATAGGTTGTCCATCTGACCCACCTGTCGTGGGCGAAAAATGAAAGGACCACATTTGTGGCTCAATGTCGACTCGTTGTGTGCTATCTGAATGCATTTATGCGAGACTTCCAACATCAAGATGACGTGATATTAATATGAGTTGTTGAAGATGCTTACAAAACCACATCTTGGAAGTCTTGAACAATTGATCCTCGTCCAGAATGGGTAGTTCGTCGCTAGAGTCATCATTGTGCGTGTTGTTTTGGTCATCAACATCGTCGTCGTCACGAGAATGACCTGCTTGGTTCGAACAATCATGTGTGTCATCCAACCCAGAGTCACATCTGAATAAGTTGTGGTTTGATCATTAGTGGCCTAAGTAAATGAAATAGGGTCTTCTCCAGTATATGTAAATGAACTATGGCCTACTGGGTGAAAAGAGTTGTCTTCTTGATATGAATATGAGGCCTCGTGGGAAAACGCAGGACTACCAAAACCAAAACGACCCTGACATACACATTGGACATCATTATTTGCGTGAAGATTTGTTGTCCTATCCCCGAAATCCCTACATTTAATCGGTGCTTCAACTTGTCGTAAATGTTGGGAGTACTTTGATTTTGAAACAACTCTACAATATTGTCAATAGATTTCATCTTCGTAACTCGCGGACTTCCATCAATATGTATTCAAAATCACAAGGACTGGCCTTTAATAATGCTCACGATAAACTTCACAATACATTTGTTGGCCATAATTTATTCGCAGAAGAAGAAGAAGAAGAAGAAGAAGAAGAAGAAGAAGAAGAAGAAGAAGAAGAAGAAGAAGAAGAAGAAGAAGAAGAAGAAGAAGAAGAAGAAGAAGAAGAAGAAAATTAACATCTTGCATGTCTACTTCACGTAGAAAAAAAGAAAGTCGATCAATGTGATATGTAACTATTCAAATCATATGCAAAATATGTTTGCATATTAATAAATTATTCGAGTTTGATATTGGACATGTCTAAGTTGTTTTTTTTTTTTTTTTTTTTAATTTATACGATAACTATATATATGTAAAATAATTTTTGCATAATTTGATTTGGATAATCATAAATTACGCGATTACGTGAATATACAAAAATGTAATGCATAATCATTAATTAAACGGCATTATAGATTTGGAAATGTGAGTTGAAAACTAACCAAAAAATTTCGTATAATCCTAATATATACGACATTCGATTTGGATATGCAATAAATAAATATACGTAATTTTCTCGTATATGGTAAATTATGCGGTGTATTTGAATATGCGATTGCCTAATACGCGTAAATGTTTTTGTTAACTATGTGTCCCATTGGATATGCGAGTCGTGTAATATGCGAAAAAATTATCGCATAATGATAAATATGCGTCTGTCAACTTGAATATGCGATTACTATATATGCGAATAAATTTCGTATATCAAGAATTATGCGATGGATTTGAATATTCGATCAACAATTATTGGAATATGATTCGCATAATTATTAACTATATATTTCTGATTTTGATATGCATTTTTATATATACTACAAAATTTCGTATAATGGTTAAATACACGGTTCATTTAAATATGCGACTTTTTTGTCGCGTCTAATTTCGTAAGTTGTTAGGTGAAAAAAAAATATTTTAGTTGAACAGTGTGAAAGAAACTAAGTTTATGTATATATTGAAGTGTGAGTAATGCTCCCCACCCACAGTAGTCACATGTTAGTATTCAAAAATATACATTATCAATGTGTGCATTTCAAATAAGCGGTGGACATATTAACATATATTAAGACTAGTTTGACTCCGGCTGTGCACAGCACAGCCGGCCCAAATTCGTTTCTATTTATTTTTAACTTAATAATTAT